ATTGAATATACTAAAACGTATCAACCCCAATGAAATGTAACAAAATAATAAATAAAAATAAATAGAACAAAAAATATTCCAAATAGATGGATTCCTTCTTACCGACAAAATTGAATTGCCCTTATTCTTTTAGTAGAATGATCATTTCTCGAAAGAAGAAGAAAACGAAAGAAAGAGAAAGAAAAAGGATAGAGGGGTAGGGGAATAAAAGGCGATAGCCCAAACCTCTCCCCACACCCCTTTTTTTCCAGAAGCATCGTGGCACGACGCGACGCCTTCGGCCTCTCTTCGTCCGTCTCTCCGACGACCACTTCTATTTCCGTCTCTGTCTATTCCTCAGTGCATTCCAGCAATGCATCTGCTATCCCTCTCACTCACTTACATTTCCAGTATGCATGTATCTACTACACGAACCAATACAAATGAACGATATTCCGTCTCTTTCGCACATCGAGGAATGTCTGTAGTCCTCTATCACAATCTTGTTCTCTCTCTCTCTCTCTCACACACACACACACATACAAATACATACAGCAGACACACACGAGGGGGGAACAAGTGCAGGTACGTGTGTGTTAGAAGTCTGGGTCGGTTGGACTCGTTGCACCGGGAAACCGAGAGGCAGTGCAGCCGTCCTTGTCGCTCACTCCATTCATGCCTCGGTCTGTACCCACCCCCCTGCACCCCCTGGTCCCTCCCGACCAGCCGTCCCGGCCCTGACACCCACCATCCTCCTCATCCACCACTACTACTACCACCCAACCACCTCCTTCCTTCCTTCAACACAACCATGGAGATGGCATCCACGGTTTCTGCGCTCGCGCGCGCGTGCACACGGGGTTATGCAACTCCGGCGAGACGTTCTCCGACACACATAAATACATACACATCCATACAACACCAAGGGGGTGAAGGAAGAGGAAGAAGTGGATGAGAGGATGGCGGTGGTAAGAGGGGGAGGAAATGGTGAGGCGGGGTGGGGGGTGGGGGAGACGGTGTGTAACGTTATCGCGGCCGCAGCCGGCGGCCAAGCGCGGTAATTTACCCTGGCGAATTACCGACGATGCTCCAATTCGTTTCGCGCCTCCTCGCCAATGCCGAAGGCTTTACAAATTATCTATCTATCTGTCTATCTATCTATCTATCTATCTATCTATCTATCTATCTATCTGTCTATCTATCTATCTATCTATCTGTCTATCTATTGTTATTTTTTATTTTTATAAATTTTTTCGTGTGTATTCGCATTTTAAAAATATTAGGTTGTCTGGGAAGTTCGTGCCGATTTTCGATAGATGGCATAAAGTTCTTTTTGGTCAAAAACCTGAAAAATTCTAAAAGGACGAAATTTGGAAGTTACCTTTAAACATCTTTAAAAATCTCCATCGAGAAAGGTTCTTAGAACAGTATGACACTTATTTGAAATATATATTTAAAAAAAGAACTTAAATGACATTAAACATATCGATGCTTTACATATAATTATTTTTACATTTTAGCTAATCAAACGATTCATTTTTATAAATTTATTATACATTTTACAATGACAATAAAAACCATTTATGCAATCAGAATTTTTAGCTCACTAAAAAAAAGGGATTGTAATTTGTAAAAAATTCCGTCAAATAATTCTTACAATCTGATTATAATGCATTTTAATGTTATCCATTAATTTTTGACTGAAGAATAATTAAAATTGGCCTGAGAAGTAAAATATTTTCAATTCTTTTCATTGTGGACAATGTTTGAATGGAATATTACAATGGAATTGGGGAAAAGAAAATCCTGAGAAGGATTATTGGAAAAGATTGACGAATGGTTTATCTGTTAAATAAACAAATAATGACGATTTTCATCTCACGTGTTTGATTTCTATTATTTCTTTCTTTTTTTTTTTTTTTGCTTTTTTTTTTTTTATTACGAACGCATACAAAGTTATTGCAATTGCATACGGTTCAATACCTAATTCGATATAATTACTATAATTAAAAATAATGAATTAAAGGAAACATGGCTCGATTGTCGAATGGCTAAACTATGATGACGTAAAAGAGCGAAAATTTTCGAAATATTTCATACATTTTTAAAAAAACAATTTGTTCTTTCATAATTTTCAATCTTATCTTTACTATGATTAGATATTTAATTGTTTTTTTATTGCATGATTTATTTATATTAATAATACAAAAATGAGTTAATTAATAGCTGTCATTGTTGTTACATGTAATGAAAATCATTTCAAATAAAATCGATCTTTAATGTCACCGTAATCATCGAACGTAAGTAACGTTTCCACTTGAAATATTTAATTATCTACGAGAGACCAGTCTAAAAATCTTTTATCCTAGATAAATTACATTTAAAAAGGATCAATTAACTAAAAAGACGTGGACCATAATCTGCCGAAAGTTTGACGTCGATCGATAATATAGCAATTTTTATGAAATTCATTGATAAAAGAAACAAATGTAATATTTTAACATTAAATATATAACAAATTGTACATAATTATTTTCAAACGTGTGTTATTTTATTCACGTTCAATTAAATTACATACTTTACAAAAATTATATGCTATCGATATTTGAAATTTTCTAAAAAAAATAATACGAAAAATAAAATAAAATAAAATAAAAATTAAAACAAAATCGTCCAATAATAATTTGATAAATTTGTATTTTTCTTAATTTTTAATATATTTTTTTTTTTTAATACTTATATTCGTACAGTTCTTAATACGAGGTCATAGAAAAAAATTCGATATTTTCGGCAGATGGGATACGTCGAACTTTCGGTTTACATTAAACCGATGTTTATTTTGTTTTTTTGTTTTTTATTTCATCTTTCATTTTAATTAGATGCATAAAGATTAATTATAATAATTGCACCACTGGCGTGTCCACTTATGTGTATTCTCGTCATGATCACAGGAACTTTCAAAGTAATATGATCGATCGATAGATCTTTCGATAGATCATTTTCTTTTCATAGTTTTATTATTTTTTTTCTAGGGAATTCTTTTTTTTTTTTTTTTAGTTATTCTTTTTTCTTTCTTTTACAAAAAACGATCAAAGACGAAAGGACACGAGGTTCTAATTTTTGTTTGTTAGTTTGTTCTAGTAATATCTCTTCTAACTTTTGTTTCGAACAAAAAGTATCGGAAGAGTTTTCTTGGTTCGCACTTATGGTACACCATGATTTAATACTTCTTAGGTACAGCAGTCCGCTTATCTATGGTACCAAAATATAATTCCTCTCTATATTTTACAATATAATGAGCGTTCAACGTCGAGTTCATCGAAAAACATCCTGTTTGTTATATTACATTTCGATTATTATCGTTATAATAATTCATTCTATAAAAAAAAAAAAAAAAATAAAAAAACAAATTTTATTTTTATTATTAAAATGCATTTCTCTTTTATCGTTGTTTCCAATTATTATATAATTTCAATATTTTAAGCATCGAATAATATAATTTGTAATTATATTTAAAAATATTCAATATTAAAAAATTACAATCGATTTTTAATCATATTCGATTGATTATTTCTATAAATACAAAATATATATATAATAATTCAATTGATTCAATAAAAAAAAATATTACCTTATTTTTAAAACACCCTCTCCCCCCCTTACCCCTTGTCAATCAATTTTAAATTAAAAATACAAATACATGTTTTTGTAAAAAAAAAGAAAAAAGTAAAATTTTTCAACTAAACATCAACTACGTTTATTTAATTATTATTTTATGTCAACGATTAATATTAAAACAAAACAAAAAACAAAAAAATCTAAATCTAAACGAAAAGTCATATTAAAACAAGAAAAAAAAAAACAAATTATTACAAAAACAATAATAATAATGTTGTTAAACTTAAAATTGTTAAGAAAAAAACAAATTAAGAAACGATGTATCAAATATCGTTCGATTAATCGACGACTAAGTATTACAATAGATTGTTAAGAATAAATTCGATGAAAAAAAAAAATAAAAAAAAGAGATCATTTTTTAAACAAAAAAAGAAAGAAAGAAACAAAAAAAAATTGAATGAATCTTTTTCGACATTTTGTTGTTCGATTCTCGACGTTGATAGCGATAGTCAACTTGAACAACGTTTCGTTTATTGCTTTTATTTCTTTTCTTTTTTTTTTTTTAACTTTTACTTTTTTTTTATTTCTATCCATATTCGCCCCACTAAACAATTCGCTACGCCGATTGATACGTCAAAAAGATCTCTGTTTGCCCTGAGTAGATACAACATCGATTTTAACATTTGATTGATCATTCAATAACATTCTCGATCGTACGTAACATGTTTTTTTTTCTTTTTTTATTTATAAATATATCAAAGATAAAAAGGTAAAACAAAAATTGTTTGGAAGATAAGATAAGAAAAAAAGTTCATCCGATTTTTATTATTCGTTTGTTTTTAGGAGGAAAGAAAAGAAAATGAATTTATTGGACAAAACGTACGTGTGTGAGTGTCAGTCGTGTGTGTAAAATTTTGAAACGATATATGTAAATAAACTCATACAAAATTTGATCTACTTGTAAATCCATCGATCATTCATAATGCGTAAAATTAAATGAACAATATATTTAAACATATATTAAAAATGCACTAATTAATATTCAATACTTAAAAAAAAAAAAAAAAAATAAACGAATTTATTATTTTTTTCGAAACACACTAACATTTGTGTAATGCAAAATAAAAAAAGAAATATCTTTAAGAATTAAAAAGATATAACATTGATAGTGTAAATGTTTAAAAAAAAAATTGGATGTATGTACAATCGATCAATCGAATATTAAAATCGATAAGTTTAAAGGTATAAATTGAAAAAGAAATAAAATTATTGATCGATGAATATAAATCGTATAAATAATGAATATCTTCATTTTTCTTCTAATCAACGAATAATTTAAATTAGGCGAATATAAATACACTCATATAAATAAATATATATATATATATATATATATATATATTTTATTTATATGTATATGTATATCGTTAAATGAATTAAACGTGTGCATTTACGAAAAACGTTGTTACACAATTTCCTAACCTAATCCCACGTCGAGAGACATCATCACCAAGAAACCCACGATGGCAGCCCAGCTGGCGAATTTACCGTTTCCGCTGCAAATAGAAAAATGTTAGAGAGACACTTGCGTCGATATTGCGTAATCAAATACACGTTAACGAATATTATATTTCACATCTGTATTATTATACTGTTAACAAACACCATTCGTCATTATTTTGACTTTTATTTGATTTGATTTTATTTTATTTCTTCTTGTTTTTTTTTTGTTTTTTTTTTTTGGTAATAGCATTGAAACACATATTCAAAATCCAATCATCAATATATATTTTTAATTTTTAGTATTGTTATTAAAGACATATTTTTGAATCATAATCGATGAGTTATTTTATTTATTTGATAAATCATTCACAAGTTTCTTTCATTTTGTGATACGTGATACGATTTTATTTTCAAACCGATGCACAATTGTTATATAGAATTTTTGAAACAAATTTATCTTTCCCATAAATAATATCACTTGTTACAATGAAGAAAATTCTCACTTTCAGATAAAATAATTAAAAATTATTATTATTATCAAACTATAACGTTAACAATTGATCAAACGAATAGAAACTTCAACGTTACAAAATCAAAATACGAAAAGGGACAAACAAAATTTATCACCATAGAAAATAATTGTAAAACGGTAAATGAGAAAACAAAAAAGAAGAAAATGATAGAAAGAGAAAGAAAACAAAAAACAAATAAACAAAAGAGGATATCACGATGATTGTGGACAGGAGGAGGAAAACGTGGTGGGTGGTGAATGAAAATGGTGAGAAATAAAAAGGATTTTCTCGCGGCTTACAAGTAGGGGGAGGGGGATTAAAAGAAGAAGGACATACACACACACACACACACACACAAATAAACACACAGTGCACGTACGTACGTACGCACGCACTTATGCACGCATGCACGCACGCACGCGTCTCTTTCTGTGCCACGGTATTGCACGTCACGGCTTGTTGATTTTGTAAATTATACACGGCCATCAATTTTAACGGCCGGTGAAATGCGCCGTTGTGTTTCGGTGGGCGTTCTACCACATCAATCATATCCGCGTGGTAAATACCTCCCTTCTTCGGTTGCTCTCAGAAAATTTGTATTTTTATTGCCCATTATCGTCTCACACACACATACACACACACATACACACGTTGTTGACTTTCAAATCTTTGGACAATCGCGAGCATACGTATGTGTCAGCTTATAAGTGTTGTGTATGTGCGTTTACGTGCGTGCGTGCTTGTCGTCTCTTCGTCATCATCGATTGTCGTCAACTGTCATCGTCTTTTTCTCGTTTCCTGCTCATACTCAATCGGCTATAAAATATATATATTTATCTCTTAAGTATGCGTGTATACATGTATATATATATAAAGGGTGTTCAAAAAAACATTCAATATTAATGTGATATATAGGATACACTGCATTGAGTAAAAAGGTATAAGTAAACATAAGTCGAAAAATCAAACGTTTCTAACATGAGATATATTTTTGTTCACTAGTATCATGATTGACTTACTTATTTCTATCACATGCGATGTTAACTTTAGTGTTTTTAAAAGTTGTGAAAACTCTTATTCAAGTACCGATTGTAGATTTCATTGAAAGTCAGTAAGTTGTTGATCGGAGTTAGTAGATATTACACAGTTATGAAGTATCGTGAAAATGTCGCAAAGTAATTCGCGACTCTGTAGAAAGAAGATACCATGTGTATGTGTATGTGTAGAAATGAAAGATGGACACGTGAAAAATCCTCTATAATCATCGGAAATTTAATAGTAATATTATAAATATTGAATAATTTTTTTTTTGAACACCCTGTATATGAATCGTATATAATAATTATTCAAATATAAGTAGAGTGCATTAGAGTATTAAAATAATTGTTAATTAATCGAAGGAAACGTATATTATTGTTTAAATGTACGGAATATATGTCAGGAGCATCGTCATCCTCGAAATTCACCTTCAGACTAACACATTGTCCCCTATGAATATACTTTTATTCAATGTTGCTTATATGACTTTCCGAACATTGCGCATGTGTGCAATAGTAATAATATTCCTAATAAAGGGAATTTAAGATTATAACGATCTAATTTTACCATTTTTTTTTTTATTCTAACGTAATTATTTTATCGCTCCTGCGCAGTGATGATTTTGAGGGTTAAATTTTGCTGTAATATAAGTTAAGTGTATTAAAACATTAAAATAATTATTAATTAATCGAAGAAAACGTGTATTATTGTTTAAATGTACGGAATATATGTCAGGAGCATCGTCATCCTCGAAATTCACCTTCAGACTAGCACATTAACCTTTATGAATGTACTTTTATTCAATGTTGCTTATATGAATTTCCGAGCATTGCGCATGTGTGCAACGATAATAATATTTCTACTAAAGAGAATTTAAGATTATAACATTCTGATTTTTATATTATTTCGCAAGTGTAACGTTCAGAAAGTTATATAAACAATATTTGATAAAAKAATTTTGATAGAGAATAACATGTCAGTCTGAAGGTGAATTTTGAGAAAGACGGTGCTCCTAACATATATTCCGTGCTTTTAAACCATAATTCACGATGAATTAACAATTATTTTAATACTCTAATGTGCACTCTGTGCTTATATTAGAATAATTATTATACACGTGTTATATATGTAAAAAAGAAAAAGATAGATAGAGTTCATTGGTCGTAATACCAACGATCACCTTTTACCCCGACGCCCTGGTGTCACGACGAGGATTCTCGATCGAGGGTAACTACCAACACCAACACCACTACTGCAACCAACTTACTTTTCTTCCTGACTAATAATATTTTTGTTGTTTCAACGATTATAACAATGTTGTATCTTACTGATAAAAAAGAAAAAAGCAACAAAATGTGAGAAAGATAATTGGAAGAGAACTACCGTGAGAACTTACTCAAATGGTAGATAATTTAAAACGAAACTAAGAAATAAATAAAGAAATAAGTAAAGAAAGAAAGAAAGAAAGAAAGAAAGAAAGAATGATAGAAATTAAAAAAGATATTAGAAAGAAAACAACTAAGCGTTCCTATTCACCGAGCAAAAGGCAAAATTTTAATTGCAAAAAATGTATAGTTGCTATTATCCGTGAAAAAGATAGTAAACGTTTCTCTTATACTTTTTCATCTTCTCATCTCTTCGTCATCTTTTATTATTTTAGATATTCTATTTCTTCTTCATCTTCTCATTTATTCGACAAGAAAGATAAATTCTCTGAAAGATGAAGGCATTCCTACCAGTCGATATCTTCTAACTCTTTAAAACTTGTACCAATAACCTTCTGCTCTCACTTCCCACCCCCTTTCACCTTCTCACTCCTGAACGAAGCATCTCATCGCTAACCTTCCCCTTCCCCTTCCCCTAACCACCACCAATACCACCTTAATCCTTTTTCTTTCTTTTCATCTTTCCGATCTTGGTTTTTTCTTTTCTTTTCTTTTCATCTTTTTTTTTTCGTAAGAGAAATAATCGTTCGACCGTATCGACTACTCAGTATGAATCGATTAGCATAGCGCGATTCACCTTTCTATTAAACACATTGTAAAGAGACTCGTAAATATAATATAATCAAACAATTTATTTGAAATTGTGTTACAATGTCGAAGAGTTAGTAAGAGAACGAAAATGATCGATCGATCGATAGATCAATAGATCTATTCGTTATAATGAACATAAAGAAAAAGGAAGAAAAGAACTAACAAGGAAATTAATAATTATCAAATATGAATATGAAAAATTAGCAAAATTAAGAGAACAAGAAAGGTAAATAAAATTAAATTATGTGAAATTAAATTAGGGTAAATGAAATTAATTATATTAAATTAATTAAATTTGTAAATAAAAATAAGCAAAAATTAGAAAAATTACTAATGGAAAAGTTCGATAGGAGAGGTAATAAAATAAATGAAAATGTATTCAAAAATAAATGAAGTATTAGAAAGAAAAACATCAGTTATAAAAATGAAACAGAGAGAGAGAGAGAGAGAGAGAGAGAGATAGAAAAGTAATGAATCGTATGAGAAAGACAAAAATGAGTGAAAGAAAGAGAAGGAAAAGCAGTCATCAGGTAACGAAGACTTGATCTCATTTTTTCAAGAGAAAAAGAGAAAATAAGAAGAAGAATAAGAGAAAGAGAAAGAGAAAGAGAAAGAGAGAGAGAGAGGGAAACTAATGCGTTGATAAAGCAGATTCGATCGTTAATTAGTGGTTAAGTATACCGGAATAGTTCTCGTTAGTTTTCACACCGAAAAGATCACACGGGTTTGATTTGGAGGGTTGAACCGAGGTCGTGCAACGGTTTTCTTAGAAACGAGGGGAGAGGAATAAATGAAAGAAGAAAGAAAGAGAGAGAAAAAAAGAGAGGTGTATTTTCACTTTTGTGTTTTCCGGGTCCTCGAGGGTTCCCGAGGGAGCCAGTCGAGGTTGACTGTCTCAGGAGTCTTCTCTTTACGTTCAGAGATGCTTCACCTAAGTAACAACCAACGAGAAAAAAAAAGAAGAAAATAAAGAAAGAAAGAGAGAGAGAGAGAGACAGAGAAAAGTAGCGGCTCTTTTGGTATACACTGGCAAGACGGTTAGATCGCACGCGAAATACAAAAGAAGCCAATTATAATGACAATGCTCGTACGGTTTAGGCCAACGTTCTGGGGGCCTGGGAAAGAAATTTGCTCTTGCACGTTCGTTTTAACGCGTTCGCGAAAGAGTGAGAGAGATAACTAGAAAGAGTAAGAAAGAAGAAAAATAAAGATTAAGTCGACTCGACTATCTACGGCACTGTCGTCACGCGCCATTGTACCGTAATCGTTCTCGAATAGAACCACTGACGAATATGTGTGCAAAAATATTCACCGTATACTCTATCTTAAACTATATCTTAACTATAATCACATTTTTATTTATATGTATATATATATATATTTTTTTTATGTTTATTTATATTGATTTTTTTTTATTATTTAAACGTTCATATATAAATGAAGTTTTGTAAGTTGTTGAAATAAATT